GATAAACAATAAACTTCTTTCAAAATATCCAAGCTCACTTTGGTCATCTAGAAGTTTGTCTCTCATCAACCAATGAGGACAGAAACTTCCAGAAGAGAACTGTAGGGGTAAGGCAAGGAAAATTACAGCTACAACCAAGAGCTTCTGCCAAAGAAAGACCAATCTGAGAATAAGATAAAATATACTCAGAGTTAAAGTCAATGGGAAATCACGAATGATTTAAAAAATTTAATTCAGAACAACTTCACAGGTATGCGTACAGTACTTTGCTAAGCACCTTTCAGATTGTATCCCATGGATACATATATTAAAGACTAATCAGGAGCTTCCCTGGCTATCAGTAAAATTACAATAGGAACTAGTGCCTGGACCCAAACTAGACCTCAGGTTCTAGTTCTCTGTGATGGCCGTTAGATGGGAATGACTTGGGGAGCGTTTGTGGTAGGTCCTTTGGTGTTCATCTAGAATAAGGGACCGTATGTTTAGCAGAGGGTGAACTTGTAGAGACTTGTAGTCTAATTTACCAGACTACGGAACGGGAAATCACCGCATCCAGGTATCCCGGCTCTGCTGTGTACCACCTAGGAGGCTCTCTGAGGACTGGAAGTAACAACTTCTCCTGCTATAGGGAGTGGCGCATGTAAGTATTTAACAAATTCATTTTGCAACAAAATAATTGAGCAGAGATTACATGCCAGGCTTTACAGCAAGTCGCAGACACACAGCACTGAAGAATTAGACCAAGAGCCACATTCTAAAAGCAGACGACCACCACTCAACAAATAACCCAATATATGACGGTCGGTAATGCAATTGGTAATGCAATTGGGCAAAGCAGGGGTAGGGCTGGGGTGGGGTAGCTCAGTGGGAGAACGAGTGCACGCCACCTGGAAATCAGGGGTGCTTTCTCTGCCTGTGCATTTACACGCTACCCTGGGGATGCTCCTCTCAAAGAGCAACTTGGACTCTTTCTTAAACTACAAAATGGGGAAAATTCATCATAGAATTGTGTGTGGTTTTATTTATTTTCTTCAATTTGCTAAAACAAAAGTTTGAACAGTCTTTCCAAATTTTGATTTGCTTGGAATTTTAACCTTAAACCAAAGAGGGGAAAAAAAAAGAGGCAAGATTGCGGGAAAGCTTTACTGATTTAATGTTTACAAAATATTTGAAAGTTGTCCAAAATTATAGACTTTAATCAAGAGGAAAAGAGTTTCATCAAAAAAAAAAAACCATAATGTATATACAAACAAAAATACATTCAAGAGAAATAGGAATAGCCAGAGACTCTCAGGAGACCTCAAGTGTAGTTTAGGCTCTGTTGTTTCATAGCTATGGAAACCATGTGACCTCTCTGTGCCTCATTTCCTTGTCTGCAAAATGGTGCTAAGAGTCCAATTCTATAGTTTTCTCTCTCCTGACACTGCTTTTAGCAATATTGGGGCTTGAACTCAGGACCTCATACTTGCTAGGCAGACCTTCTACCATTTGAGCCACTCCACAAGCTCTTTTTTGTGAGGGATTTTTTTGAGGTAGGGTCTTGAGAACAATTTGCCTGGGGTTGGCTTCAAACTGTGATCCTCCTGATCTCTGCCTCCTGAGTAGCTAGGATTACAGGCATGAGCCACAGGTACCCGGCTCCTGACATGTCTTTTCCCACTTTTGTTTTTTGAGAAATGAAACACTAATTGTTTTGTTCATCTCTGATCCCCACCCCCCTTTTAAAATCTGTTGTGGTGCTGTAACAATTTCCTTTTAAGATACAGAAGTCTCATTTGTAGTAAAGCATAGTTCCAGTTCCTTTTTAACTTTTCTCTTTTTCTGGAACAGAGGACAAGTTGGGAAATTTGAAGAACTCAAGGGCTCCCAGTACTTCAAGAAAGTCTTGAATCATTTCTCTCTGTGATTTCTTCATGCCCTACCCTGGATGATGTTTTGAAAGGTATTTTCACTAGTTTGGGTACAGATGCTAAAATGATCAATAGTGTGATAATACTGAGGAGGCAAATCATTTAAAAGGTGAATGGAATGTTAAACTTGTATGCTAAGATTTGTACTCAAACTTACTTTTTTCCCCATTTGATGCTGTTGATATAAATAATCTCTTTGTCACTAGAGTTTGAACTCAGAGAAGGTAAGGCAGGTGCTCTACAACTTGAGCCACTCAGCCAACCCTTTTTTATGTTGAATGTTTTTTGAGATAGGATCATGTGAACTATTTGCTTGGGCTGGTCTCGAACCACCATCCTGATCTCTGCCTCCTGAGTAGCTAGGATGACAGGCATGAGCCACCTGTGTCCAGCTATAATTAATCTCTTATTGTTATTTGAATCACTCTCCAACATCAAACCCAGCATTCTGCAGACCAGTTTCTTTTCTGAGATGCTGTGGAACAGTGGTCTGTGAGATAGCATGGGGTTGCAACTGAAACGACAAAGATTGATTTCAACATTTGTGAAATAGCCATAAGCATTTGCCTTCACAATTTCCTCTTAGTACCCACTTCTCAGTAGTGACATTAGCTATCATGGAGCCTTGAAAACTCCCCACATCTCCCACAGAGATGACCATCTTGGCCTGAACTTAGGACTACTGTCCTGTTCATGTCTTTGTGCTAGACCCTTCACTTTCTACCACAGACAGACATTTGCTCTATTCAGTTACCATGTGTGATATCTAATCTAAATAAACGTTGATGGCACCATGACAACAGCCCCTTCATCATGCCAACTGAGGTCAACCTGAGTGCTTTTCTTTTGCAGCTTCTGTCACTGCCTCTTACACAGGGTGTCAGCATCTCCAACTTATCTGCTTCAATCCATCTGTAACCTGCTCCAAAATTTGCCTTCCCTAAATTCCCTAACATCCTGTGGCTGACTCTCACACTTAAAACTTTCAAGAGCCCTCAAATGCTCCCATGGTGCTACTCAGTCCACTTAGCCTGACATTCAAGGTCCTTTGCCATTTGATAACAGCCTCCCAGCTGACCCAGCCCAACCTCACACCCAAGCCTTTGCCTGTCTGCCAGGAAAGGACATTCTCCACCCAAAGTCTACCTCAAGTCACACTTTCAAATCCTGTCACCTTCCTTAGTCATTGTAGTTTGTAGAGATTTTTTTCTTCACCTCTAAATACAGAGACTACCTACTTATTTGGGCCCTAAATCATGCACTCATACTATAATTGATACTTGTGAGGAAAGGCTTAATTGTTAATTCTGATACATGGAGTAATAGAGATGGCATGGATTTTAGGTGACAACCAATTTAGCAGCACATGTCCCCTCTGGATAAGCATGACTGGCACGGTGCTGGGCTTCAAAATGTGGCCATTTCATCCTTGGTTGCTCTTATAATTAGAATATTTATTTATTTATTTGAGACAGGTGTTGCTATGAAGCCAAGGCTGGCCTTGAACTCATGTTTTTCCTGTCTCAGCCTTCCAAGTGCTGGGATTACAGATGTGGACCACTATGCCCTGTGAGTCATCTGCTTTTTGAGGAAGGAAAATCCCACTCACCCCATTCTAACCAGGTGAGAATTTAATACCTTCCGGAAAAGAAAATAATTGGAATCACATCTGAATGAGATCTCCCTGAGTCCAGATTAAAGCTCTTCTGCCCATCTACTACTCACAGACCTGCTCCAAGCATGGCCTGCAGATCTTCAGGATCAGCCTCACCGGGTGTCTTTCCCCCACCCCAGTACTGAGGTTTGAACGCAGGGCTTACACCCTAAGCCACTCCACTAGCCCTTTTTTGTGATTTTTTTTTTTTTTTGAGATAGTGTCTTGGGAACTATGTGCTTGAGCTGGCTTCGAACCTCCATCCTCCTGATCTCTGCCTCCTGAGTAGCTAAGATTATCGCTGTGAGCCACCGGCACCCAGTGCTTCTTATTAGAAATGCAAATTAATAAGCCCCAGCCCAGCCCAACTGATTGGAAAGAGGGTGGGGTCCAAGACCGAGTTTCAAGTCTGAAGAGCACTGTGTCTCCCGCGTGAAATGAAAAACAGCTGGCTGCCTCTGTATTTTTGCATAATTAAAAGTGGTTAGTGTCTCTCTGGCATCTTCGACTAAGTAATCTCTTACAAACAAGTCAGTTTGTTTTTCCAGCCATCTGATCACCGACACATCCCACATTTGCCAAAAAGGCGAAGGCACAGGTATACAAGGGTCCCCTATTCCTCCAGACCACATTAGGCTAAGGCACAAAGAGAAAAACAACTCCTGGTGACCGCGTGAAATCCCCGGCTTAAAAAAAAAAAACAGCCACATATACATTTATTTCCTTAAAAGCCGTGCCGGAAAGGGTTTCTGCGGTTGTGGGACCCCAGCTGGGACTGAGCGACAGTTCTGCACATTGGGGTGGGGGCGGGTCCTAGGTGATGGAGGATGACTGGCAGTTGTGTTTGGAGTGGTGGCTTGGGTAGTGTTTATCTTGCCCCTCCAGCATGCGCGCGCGCGCGCATATGTTCAGTTTCGTGCCCTGAAAGGGGAACCCTGTGTTTTGTAGACAAAAAGTCACAGAAGCAACTTTCGACTTAAAAAACAAGTCAACGCGCGATCTCCCCCAGAGGAAAAGGAACTGCGCCGTTTGTCCCTGGGTTACTGAGCAACACCCCGGGCGATCGGGGCTGCCTATGTCTCGTGTTTTCCGCGGTTTTTCTTGCTCTTGCCCGCGTTGGCTCACTTCCACCCTCTAAACGCCCCAGCAGTGAAATATTAGGCGGGACTGCCTCTCCCTCCAGGCGGCCAGCTGTGCGCTGGGCCCAGTTGTGTGTGTGTGGGGGGGTGGTCCGCGCGCAGCGGGCGGCTCAGCCCCTTCCCCTAAACCCGGGCGGGGGCGGGTCCACGCGGCCCTGCGCTGCGCCCGGCAGGCGGTAGGGGTCGCTGTGCGCGGCGCGCGCGGCCACCGCGGTGAATAACGGGGCCGGGTTGGAGGAGAAAGGAAACCTGCAGGGGGAGGCGGCGGCGCGGCGGGCGAGGGAGCGAGGGACAAGAGTTCACTTTTGCTCGGGTGTCAGCGCGCGGCGGCTGCAGCGGGCGCTGGCGAGGGAGCACCGCGGGGGCGAGTCGCCCAGCTCGGAGCGGCCAGGCGAGGGCAGCGAGAGGCGGGATCCGAGCGCGCCGGCGGGGGCGCGGAGCCCTCCAGCCTGGCCAGCGAGGGGAGCCGCGGGGGGCGCGCCCCGGGAGGGCCCCCGGAGTCACGCAGGATGCCCCACGAAGAGCTGCCGAACCTGCAGAGACCCCGCTATGGCTGTAAGTACGCGGGGCGCGCGCGGGAACGGCCGATCTTGGGGAGACCCCCCCTTCCCCGAGGACTGTGTTGGAGAGGGGACGAGGGGCGGGGGGAACGGGTGTGCGCCGTGGAGGGAATCGGAGGACAGTGGTTGCAAAGTTGCGAGCAGGAGTTCCAAAGGGCAGAGAACGGCGTCTTTCTGCTCTTCTCTCCAAATTCTGATTGCCAGCTGGCGGCCCTGACCCTCCACCCTGAAAACCCCAGCGGGCGCGGGGGCAGCTTTCGGGGCAGGGACAGGCCGGGTTGAGGTTTTAGGGGTATCAGGTGAGGGGCCCGCGGAGCTCTCGGCCGTTGCCGGCTGGGACCAGGGGGTGGCGTACCCGATTCTTCTAACCCAGAAGGGGCGGAAAGTTTGTTTGCTATGGCTACAGGTGGGCACCCTAAGTAGTGTGCCAGCGCACTCTGCTACTGGCGAAGGCGGCTTCCCTGCAAGGGCTGGCGCCTCCTTCCTTTTCCGCTCTCTCCGCCTTCACCTGAGCGGTAGAGCCAGTTTGGGTCCTCAGGTGTGAGTCCTTTCCTGCCAAAGCGAAAAGGAACACCTTCCTCCCCCAGCCTCTCTCCTCCTGGTTCCCCACGACCAGTGCGCGCCTGAGAATTGCTGTCTGGAGACGCCTGGAGCCCGTGTGACTCGAAGGAGATGGTGTCCATTACCCTTTCAGGGACTGCCCTCTAAGAGGCAGGTTGGGCTGATCAAAGTGGATGGAGCCAGATTAGCACCAACCACGTGGCTTCATGGGCAGAGTTCAGAGTCCTAAACATGTGCCAGGAAGTATTTCTTTTAAAACAAACAGAAAGTTGGCTGTCTTTCTCCGGGCTTGGTCCTGTCAGTGAACCCATGGCTGAGGACCACAGGTTAATCTTTCGCTTGGGCTGGCCTTGGTGGCAAAGGTACCAGGTTTGGTTAAGGTGGTGGTACTTGGCAGGAAGGTGTGTGTGTCTAAATTGTTGGTGGGGCCACAGATATAATTTTGAAAAGAAATTTAGTCAGCTTGTGAGAGTCTATCCCTCTCCATCATAAGTCTTGGAATGGAGAGTCAGAGATGGGAGGTTAGTTTTCACATGTGACCCTTTCTGGTGACAGGCAGAAAGAGGAGGAGCTAGCTACAGCCTGGGGAAAATGCATTCAGTAGTTGACCAGGACTCAACCATTTTACAGTCTTAGTTTGCAATTTGGTAAACCACACAGACAGTAGAGCTCCTGGGGCTGGAGGAGGAGCACTGGGCTCATTTAGCAGTCCCAGGGTCAACCTGAGGTCTCTGGAAGTCCTTCAGTGTGACACACTCTCACAACATAATGTAACCTCATTATGTCAAGTTGTAAGATGCCCGAAAAGTCTGCAAACTAGGTGAATATACCTTAAAAGTGGTTTGTTGTTATTGCACGGTCTGTGTTAGTTCTCCTTTGCAATGCACAGTGCAGAATTGCGGTGAATGTGGTGCCTGAGTGCGGCATTTCCACCCATCTCTGCACAAGCATCTGATTTTTATTGAATAAGCCTGTGGCTTTAGTGTGCTTCAGAAATGATCAAGAAGGCTCAGCTCTGGCAAGCCTGAGGCCCACTCCATGGGGCCACTTTCCTTACCAATCTGGTGTCATGGGATTTTGTGCCATTCTTGGAGTCACTACTTTCCTTCCCTCTGCTCATCAAGTGCTGGCATTCACTGGCTCCTTAATACAGTCAAAATGGAAACTATGTGCTTATGTTTCTCACCTTCATCATCACCAGGAACTGTGGAGGTTTTAATACAATAGTCTATTATGTTAATAAAATAGACATTTTTTTCTTTTTTCTTCATGGTACTGGGGATCGAGCCCAGGGCCTCATGCATGTTAGGTAAACACTCAACCACTGAGTTACATCCCTACCCCAAAATGAACATTTTTATTATAATTTTGATTCTGGGTTCATGAATGGAATGTTTGCAATGTATTTAAAAATGATATGTAGCAGAATATACCATAGAATTAACAGTCATTCCCTAACATTGGCTGTTCCTACCAGAGGGGATGGTTTGATGTGTTAGTACAGTTTCTGGCTGTTAGCTTTGTGGACCTCTTGTCAACATGAAACTAAAAACAGTGCTTGGGAGTTCTTCCAGCAAGATGAGGAAAGGATAGCAGGGGTTGTTCTGGCCTGGTGGGTAATGAGCTTGTGGGTTATTTTGTTCATCAGTTTCATAAGCAAGTGCAGCTTCAGTAAAACCTCCAGCTACACCACACAGGCTTTGTCCCCAAGACTTAAAATAAAGCACCAATAGCTTGTTGTAGTTTTAGTTTCAGTGTTGAGCATTCTGAGTTTATGTCTTTGAGATTGGGCTTCAAAAATAACTTTTTTGATGGCTTCAATGAAGCTGTTTTACATATGTCAGGTGTGAGCTTTTGTTCTGTCACCTCCCCATCTCCTCTACCACTTTGAATTGTCTACTTTCACTAATCCTTACACAATGTAACTAAATTAATTACACAATGTAATTAATTAACGTCAATCTCCTCCCCAGCAGGCTGGGTGTCTACAACCCCATCATAAGTTGTACTTGGGATTTCTCAATCAGTTCTCCACGGAGGCTGCAAGCCTTCTCAGATTTCTGACAGATGCAAGATTGCTGAAGTCATCCTGATTTGTACACAGAGCATTGAATTAGAATTACATAGACTATTTTCCGTTTAATTCCTGCTATTATTGGCCACGTTTTCCTGCAACCTGCAAAGTTATATGGTATGATGTTAATGCTAACAGAACAAAGCTGAAATATCAGCTTGATAAAGCAATGGGGAGGGAGGAAGTAGAAGAAGAGACGGTACTCGTAATGTAGACAGACATAGGTCTGTACAGAATAGCCTTCTACACTCAAAACCAAATTGAAATAACGTGTATGCTTGGGTATGATTTGCAAGTAACTTTTGTGCTGTTGTAGGGAACTATGATGTGTTTGTCAAATTAGTTCTGAAAACACACTGCTGCAGTGATCTGTCAAAAGTTCTTTGCCGATTAATTACTTGAGAGTTAAAAAGACCAGTGGTAGCAAAAAAGGGGTTATGTCATCAGAAAGATGATTTCACTCATCACTGATAATCCAATCAGCATTTTACGTATCACCGTGGGCCACTGTTCATGTGGTGAGAACTGTTGCTTTCCCCTTTGAAAACTAGAGATTTTTCTTTTCTACTACATTGTAAAAGTAATAGTGATCAGTGTTTCACTGCTTCCTCTAAAAAGTGCAACATAAGTCATGTGTGTGTGTGTAAGGTCTGGCTGATGCTATCAGCTTTTTTTTGACAGAGGTGGGGCTTGAACTCAGGATCTTATGCTTTCTAGGCAAGCACTCTACCACTTGAGCACACTCCCTGCTGTTTTTGTTTTTATAGTTTATTTTTCAGGTAGGGTCTAGTGCTTTTGCCTGGGACTGCCCTCAGATCTTGGTCCTCCTACCTCTACTTTTGGAGTAGCTGAGATTACAGGCATATAACACCAAACAAGGCCTACTATCAGCTTTTGAATAATGCTCTTGCCTGAATGTTGAGGTTTCTAAACACCTGGTAACTGGAGCCTACAGGTGGTTCATGCACTGTAAGTTCTGAGGTGATTAAACCCAGCTGTGTAAAGTAGGATCGAATATATATGAACTAGTGTAGCTCGGCTGCAGTGCTCTGTCCATGCTTCTGTTTCAGCTGTGGAAGGACAGACATAGTGTTGCTGTGTGATGTTGTCTTCAGTAGACAAAGTCAAGGCTAGTATCATGGTTGAGCTTTTCAAAAAGGATCTTTAAGGTCAACAACTAAAGTGTTATTTTAGTTTGCTTTTAACTTTAATTACAGATGTTGTTAACCAAATGACTTGTTTGGGAGAAGTTAAGCTTGTAATTCCAAGTTTGTTTTAAAATTTAGTGTCATTTAGGGTGTTAGCTAACCCCTTTTCTCTAGGGAACTGTTAGATTCGCTGTTACCTCTTACTCTTCTGCTCTACAAGCCCTGTGTGTGTGTGTGTGTGTGTGTGTATTGAACCAGGGCTTTACACAGCTACTAGAGTGCTCTACCTCTGAGCTACGCCTCCAGCTCTCCCCGTTTTTTTTTTTTTTGTGGTACTAGGGCTTGAACTCAGGGCCTGTACCTTGAACCACTCCACCAGCCCTTTTTTGTGACAGGGTTTTTCAAGATAGGGTCTCGTGAACTATTTGCCCAGGCTGGCTTTGAACCCTGATCCTACTGATCTCTGCCTCCTGAGTAGCTGGTTTTTGACAGTGCCTTTTAGTTTAAGGTTCATATGCAAATAGAGCTAATGAAGCATAAATCACTAAACTTCTGAGCAGTCTGTTTACGTGGGGTGTGGAATTCAGGCCTCTGACCTTACCCAGGCCTGGGTACTTTTTCATGTATTATTGCTGTCATCTGCTCATTATTACTTTTGGGAGGGCCGGTGGCTTTGCCAAGTCACAGAAAAGCTGAAATCATGATATTGTTTCAAGATCGCACAGTTAGCCGCTGATGGGATACTGCCAGTGTGCCTCTCCTGAAACATGGGGGTCAAGGCTGCTTTCTCCCTCTTTCAGTTCAGGAATTTTATCAAAGTGCAGAAACCTATAGCCATTTGCATGGTGTGCTCTGTTAAAAATAGATGTGTGCTGTTTTTAAAAGTCTGTTTTCCTTCTTTATTTTTTTTCCCCAAGAAAAAGCATAGACAGATACATGGGCTTTATGCTTACAGAGCACATTCAGGATTTATGTACACATAAAGACATCCCATCTCTCTTTGAGGCACTGAAGTGAAAGGAAGGCTTCTCTGTAATAATAAAGTGGCATGCACCAATGATTCCAAATAGGATAACTTGTAAAATACACTTTATCCCATATATCAGCCATGCCTTAAAGTCTGGGTTTGATAAGTCAGGCAGAAACTTGTAGTGGGGCAGCTGAGCAGTGAGCTGATACTTTCTCATTTTATTTTATTTATTTTAAACAGGC